AGTTGAATTTATAACTTGAGTTTGTATTTGGTTGTATACATTTAAGTTATGATTTGAGATAATAATCTTTTTTAGTTTGTGTTTGAGTGGGTCAAAACTTGAATTTGTATTTAGATAGTATTTTAATAAAAACTCAATGCTGATGAAAAATTTTAATAGGGTATATGGGTCGGGTTTTATTCGTCTTTTCGTTGTCAACGCATAGAAAAAAAATCATCTCAATCATAATTAAAACGAAAAAGTTATAGCATTTTTTAAGAATAGAAAAAATACTGTTCATTAATTTGAGTTCGAGTTTATAAACTTGAGTTGAATGAGAAACTTAAACTCGAGTTTTAGTCATAAACTCGAATTCAAACTCGAGTTTAAACTTAAAAGAACATGAACTCAAATAAAATTATAACTCGAGTTGTCTTTTTTGAGTTTTTTACTCAAGAGAACAAGCCTCATTTAAACAGTGGGAATTTTTGCATGTAACACGGGGCAATCACTCTTTTCTTCCCCTTCTTTCTTGCCCGGTTTAGAAAAGAAATAGAGCGACGAGTAATTCAGTGGGGTAGTTGAATTATTATTTGAGAGTTTGTGAATTATTATTTGAGAGTTTGTCCTGAAAAAAGGAACTATCAATAGTTCAATAGTTATCTATTTTTTAGTTAAAAGATTTATATTAAAAATTATATTTTTTGTGTATTTTTTTAATCTTATACTATTTTAACTAGATTTAATGGTTAAAAACTAATACTATTAATAAAAAAATTTACCTAATAAGTCTCTATTTGTATTTTGTATGAATATTTTTTTTCTGGTGGAATTATTATTATGAATGTGATTTGCTATCTACAACAATGTATGCTTCTATTTGGCCTTTGCAATCACCGTGTTTTTCTCTTTCTTGATTATTATTGTCTTTCCAGGACCTTTTACTCGTATAGTATTCTTGTGTTTTTTAGGTTTTCAGTAATAACTATCCTTTGGTGTTTTGAGAGCACCATGATTACCTAAGGAAGGGAAGGCCCTTTCTCACAAAAGTCAAACCAAGGTTTTATTATGTCTTGGGATATATGGCAGTCTTTTTATTATCTTAAAGAGAATTTTTTTGACATTTGGTTGATTCTTATTTATTAACCGTTAAATTTATATTATTTTTTTAAATTTAATTTAATTTAATTTTTAATAAAATTTAATATAAATTTAATGATTAATAAATAAAAAATATTAGTATTTTAAACAAAAGAAAAGACCTAAAAAGTCCCTATCTTGAAATATGTTATCATTATTTTTACTGTCCCTCTTTTAACTGTTTCACTAATTAAATATTCGGGTATATCATCAAATTTTTACACATCAAGCAATACTAATCTTCTACACATAGTTAATAGTCAGTGATACACTTTTTTATTTTTGTATATTCATATGTAATAATGGTTCGGTCTAATAAAACTGCTCTACCTTCTTGTGTGCAATAACGAGTAGCTAGTGTGATTTTTTTCTTTTTGGTGCTAAACTTTTAGCACTTATGGTTTTTAAAATAAAATAAAAAATATACAACCTAAGCCAAGGAAAATGAAAGAGAAATGAGATCTTTCTCTTTGAAACATTTTTCCACCGATCGCTTTTCTCTTCTATTGAGTACAAGTCACAAAATTTTTCCACACTTTTTATTCTTCCCACAAAATAAAATAGAAATGAGATCTTTCTCTTTGAAACAAGCTTCAATTGTGTGTGTGTGTGTGTTTTTTTTTTTTTTTTTTTTTTTTTTTTTGTGAGAGGGGGGATTTGGGTATTAAGTCCCAGGTTCAAAACTTGGGGATTGCGTGCCAAAGGAGGCTTTCAAGAAAAAGAAAAAAAAACGTCAATTGTTATAAAGAAAAACATCTAACCTTGAAAAAGCTGACCGGTAATTTTTAATGTCCGTTTAGTTCGCTGATTCGAGTTTTTAATTCGAGTTGAGATGTGATGTTATGTGAGAGTTTTTTACTGTAATAAAAAAGTTAGATGTGACTGTTTCTGAGAGCTTTTTACTGTAATAAAACTCGAATTCTAAATTCAAATCAGCAAAATGAACAGGACTTAAGAAAAAAAAGAAAAATACTCCCTCCATCAAGAGAGTTTTGGAAAACTTATGATTCTATCTCATCTGTGCTTATCCGAACCTCAACATGGGAAAACGACAGTGGAAGCTAGACAGTGGGGTTTGGACACGTCCTAGTTCGTATGGAAGGGACAAGAGAGTGAAAAGACAATAATGCCCTTCGGATGTAGGGCACGGTGGGCAACAAATTGAACTCACAAGTGCATGTGCCCTTGTTAGGCACTTTTAGGCCTCTCTCTCCATTTTAGCATATGCTTTAATGGCATACAAAATCTCAACGTATCTTGAAATGGTATTGACTATTTCTTTCTGTTATAACTTCTTTTTCTTTTGGTTTCGACATTCTATTTGGTATTTTCCTTAGCTTTTTCTTGACCTTCAAATGTCAACTTCCCATCCAATGTATTTTTTACCTTCGTTGAATCATGAATGTAAAATTCTTAATAGAAAAATACCATGACATGCAATTGAGTGCAACATATCCCTCTTTTGACTAGAAAGAAAAAAACAGCTATAAATTCATATATTAAAATGGAACCGTAATCACGTTTTGAGGATTCAATGACCTCCTTTTTTTTTTTTCCCCTAAAGAAGGATTGAATGAATTTTAAGGACAATTAATGATGTCTTTGTAATGATCTAGGTTAAACATTTTTTTTTTTTTTTTGCAAAAAAGAAAAGTTGATAAGAGTTGTAGAGTATTCATAAATTGATGACGACTGTCAAGTTTAATTAAAACGACCTCGTACACGTTACATGAGCTTATTTATAAAAAAAGAGAAATTTTGGATAACGAATGGAACACGTTATCTGTTATCTCACATTCATGAGAGTGTTTTTTTTTTTCAATTTTAACATCATTCATCATTTTGGCGATATTCTATAGTATTTTATTAGGCTTAATAATAAAATGTCACAATTAAAAGTTTATTGGACAAGTTGTCACTTAAATTAAAATTCAAGCGTTAAAAAGCGCATAAAATCTTAAAATTAGTCTTATGATTGGGTAGGGGCAAGGTCTTTAATCCTGCGCAGAAACCAATTATCAACACTCATTTACAAGGTCAAATTCTTCCCTCAATTCTTAACTAGGCAGAAAAAAAATCTTAATAATACATATTTTTCACCATAAATCTATAGGGGCATATTCACCCAAAAAATAAATAAATCTACTGGACAGCCGGGATTGAACCGTCCGGAAGGCTCAGCCATTAATCTCCCTTTATTTACTATTGTCAAAAGGTACTTTATCGTAAAAAATTTGGTGAAAAGAGAAACAAATAGGAAAGAGACGCGTACCGGCAATGTTTTTTTGTAACATCCCTCAAATTAATTTGATTAATATTTCTCAAGAAATAGTCAAAATTATTTTTTTAAAAGAAAAATTACATTTCATTAAAATACTAATAAACAGTCATTTTGTTACAATATTAATCCATCAAAATGACAAATACACGTTTGAGGTCCAAAACTGAGAAAACACCTCGGCATACTAACAATGAGTAGACTGAAAATTTGACTGGAAAAAACCATTTTTTTCAACATAAATTGTCGAACGTTGGAGGGGCATATAGTCAAAACCCACAAAAAGGGACATTTATAAGGCATAGAAAAAGTTCTAACCGGATCAAGTCCACCATATCGGCATTAAGTCGAACACCAAAATCTAACAAAAAACAACAAACCAGATGAGAGTCGAGTGAAGAAACCACCAACTTATTACAAACACAAAAGTAACAAAAAGACAAAAACCTCCGACCACCGCCGGTAGAAACCCTCCGATGAAGGGTGTCTGGCCAAAGGACTATTGAGGAAGACAGCCAACGAAGAGATTTTAGCCACCAAGTGGAAAATTTCCATGAAAAATGAGATCATCTATTCAGCTTCCAAGCTCTTAACCGGTTCAGATTTGTTTAAACAGAGCCATCACATCGTACACCACCATGACCAACGAGAAGCTCACGACGAGACGAATTGGAAGACTAAATTTAACGACTGGAAGTCTGGTGATGCGCCCGGAAGCGATATTGGATCTCTGGCCAACCTCTGCTCTCAAATTACCTTCTCACTATTTTTCTTAACCAATCAATAGTGATGGTATAGTCAACATTATTGGACTTGTATTAAATTCTCTACCAATTTAGGTTGATAAAATGGGCAGTTAATCCTAATAATTATCACGTCAAGGTGTTTTGTTTTTTCCTTTTTTTTATATATGTTATTTATAATTTCATGACTCTTTAACATATGAACCTTGACAGGAACACATTACAGGTATAAAAGCTTTTGTAATGGCTTTAAGCTCTCATTAAAATTATCGTTTTATTACAGTTTCCTAAACATTTTGTAGTGACCTTATGTTATAGGAAAAAGTATCTATGTTCAATGTTAAGATTTTTTATTTTATTAGTAGGGCATGAAAAGAAAAACTTTATTAATTAAACACAGTTACAAATCGTCAGATAAAATCATAATTATATTAGATTAATAAAAATTAAAATCATAAAATTTGATAAAACACTGATGTAACTATACTTATTATCTGGATTTTTATTTTTTAAACTATCATAAAATTCTCCTGAGATTTAATTAGTTGGAACTCTCCCACTCACAAAAGTTGAGGGCTTAAGCCAACATATTGGATGTAAGTTCAAGGGGCAATTTTATATATTATGAATGTTCAGAGGACAAATCGTATTTTTACTCAAAAGGAATGGAAAATTATTTCCTTAAAAAAAGTACAAACGTTCTTTTTTATTCAACATTAATTGGAGTTAATTTTTGTTTATTTTATTAAATTTAATATTTTGAGGGAGACACTTCGTGTTTTTTTTTTTTTTTTTTTTAACTATTGAAGTGTTATTTTAATGCATAGAATTTCACATTGGACAGCAAATAAGCTTTTGTTACATTGTCCCAAATGGAGGGGCCTTAGCTCTCTCTCTCTCTCTCTCTCTCTCTCTATCTATCTCTCTCTGAGCTTCTACTCTGCTAAAACCAAAGAGCTTCTAAATCGCTTTGTACTACTTTTTTCCTCTCTTGTTTTCTTCTTCCTTGTTCGTCTACTGATCCTTTAAAATTTCTTCAGGTAATACCATTTTCTCGTTCATCTTCAGCTTCTGAGCTTCTCTTGCAATTTTCTTTTTCTCATTATTTTTCAGTTTTGTACAGATTAAATTTGACTTCGATTTTTTGTTTATTGAGTTCCGAGAAATCGCCATTTTTACCAACTTTTTTTTTCTTTTCCTGATTCGGTTGGTTTTCTTGGTTTATAGTCTGCCTCTTTCTCTCTCGTTGGCCTGGTTTAGTTGCTCGGAAGGAACTGAAAGAGAAGCAACTTGAGTTCTGAAGGTAATAAATTTTTGTTTTTTTTTTAAACTGTTTGTTTGGTGTTTAGATTTTTCTTTTCTTGTACATTCTGACTTGGGTGGATATTATTTTTTTCTGTACAGCCACAACATTAACATGTATTTATTTATTTATTTATTTTTTCAGTATTTTATTTGCATAACTAAAACACAAAAATAATTATGTATTAATTTTCCTTCTGTTGGAAGAATTCATCGGAATGTTATAACTTATATGTGGATCTCTCTTTATTTCGCCTTTTGAACTTGAGTTTATTCAGTTCAAAAATATTAAATTGGAAGTAATTCATCTTTGGTCCTTGTTCTGGGAATCCACGTTCTGCTTAAATATTTTGTTTTAAATTTCTTTTTTGTTTATGGCAGAAATTGGAGAAATAAAGATACCCCCATTTGGCCCTTCTAAGTTCTAAGCCTGCATTATGCAAATTTTTTTTTTTTAAAAAAAAAACCCACTATCAAATTCAATTTTTTTTTTTTTTTTTTTTTTTGGGGTCTTTGGCCTCTGAATTTCCATATAGGTGGTGCATGAAAGTTAACTTATCTATGCTCTCTAAATGATTGTTCAACGCTTTGACCTGAAACTGATTCTTATGCTAAAGTGATTATACTTCTAGTTCAGCAG